ATCGTATTGAAGCTCAGAGGAATTGATCAGGTACGTAGCAACACGGCCTTTTTTCTTTCTTTCTTTCTTTCTAATTTGTTTTTTCTTGAGCAGGAGACGTGGAAACAACATATCACTGGAGCTAAGTTACGAGAAATGACTGAAGACGCAAGACAATATGCTGTGAGCAATAAGATGTTGGCAGCTTTATTTGTACATACACCTGCTGGGGAGCTGCAAAGACAAATACGGGCATGGCTAGCCGAGAACTTCGACTTTTTGTCTTTGACTGGAGGCGAAAGCAATGGAGGTGGTGCCGGGCACTTGGAGCTTCTTTCCACTGCAATTATGGACGGCTGGATGGCTGGTCTGGGCATGCCTTCTGGGACCAGCACGGACGCACTTGGTCAGCTCCTTTCAGATTACACAAAACGTGTTTATACCTCTCAATTGCAACATCTCAAGGTGTGGCTCAAAAAACTTTGCATGTTTGTTTGCACTACTGAGATTCTTTTGTTTCAGGACGTTGCAGCTACGCTAGCGACAGAAGATGCAGACGATCTTTCTCAAATTTCAAAGTTGAGATCTGCCTTGGAGTCTGTGGAACATAAACGTCGAAGGGTATTATATAGTTTAGAGTTTGCAGCTTCTAAGTGTTCTTTGAGCTATGCAGATCTTGCAGAGCATGCGCACTGACGTTGCACTGTTGACTAAGGAAGAAGGTGGATCGCCGCTGCGAAATCCTCCTACAGCTACCGAAGACGCGCGCCTGGCGTCGCTGATATCAATCGAAGAGATCGTGCGAAGTGCCCAGGTTCGTATCTCTTAATATCCGTTTGACCATACTTTTCAACGCTAAACTCTCGTCACTGCAGGACATTTTAAGCGAAGTCTCGCACAAAAGCATCACGGCAACGAGAAAGCGAGCTCTGTCGGCGCGTGTGAGCGAGCTCTACGGCAGGATGTCGTCACTGCTGGCCATCGACCAAGGCTGCGCCCAGAGGCATCTCATGGAGATGAAGAAAGCGGTGGAGGTACGTAAACTTTGTTTCTTTCCTAGAGCTGAGCTTGACAACGCTTTCCAGTCGGTGGAAGAACAACCGGATACAATGGCGAACCACTCGAGAAGCCGGCTATCCTCGGACGAGATCCCAGTCCCCGGGGAGCTCTCCTCGTCATCCGACTGGGGTGACGCCACCTCCGACCTGGGAGTCCAGCAGTGGAGCGTTCTCCAGTTCAACAACGGCACGGCGACGCCGTTCGTGATCAAGTGCGGCGCTACGCCATCGCTGGAGCTGGTGGTGCGAGCGCAGGCAAGCCTGGGTGACAAGTCGGGGCGAGAGACCGTGGCTCCCGTCCCGGTTCCAGCGGCACTAGCGGGGCTGTCACTGGACGAGATGCGAGAGGTGCTGTCGCCGCTTCCAGAGGCCCTGTGTCAGCTAGCTCTCGCGCGGACTGCCGATGGAACGCGAGCAAGGTACGCGAGGCTGTACAAGACGCTTGCGGTCAGAGTCCCGGCGCTCCGGGGCTCCATCAATGGCGAGCTTGTGACTCCATCGCCACAGCAGCAGCAGCAGCAGCAGCTACAGAGGCAGTCATTGTCTTCTGCCAAGCAGCAACAATAATAACGAGAAATCTCAAAAGTAAGTGATTGAGAGCAAGAGAGAGAGAGGCATTTTTTTTTCTTATATTCTCCCACACACGGCTTTGTGGCTTTGTTTTCCCGTTTTACTCCTCTCCTTGGTTTACTTTGAATGGAGATTTTGTGTATATTAATCATTTTCTTTTCTCTGTTTCTCCTTGTAAACTTAAATTACAGTACTTTAAAGATTATCTCAAGTAGAAAGTTAACCTCTTGAAAGGTTTACTTAACTAAAATATATTTGGGTTTGTTATTTGTTTATTAGATGATTCTTGTATTTATAATTTATAAACTTTCCTAAACACTTCTTAGTATATTCTTGTTTAATCTATGGTTATAAACATGTTTATAATTTATTTATTCAAAAATACTAAATAAAGAAAACCAAGCAGCAAATTTTTTAGTAACATAAATAAAACAAAGAAAGCTAGATATTTATATTATTACTATGGGAAATTATATAAACCTTAATTAATCTACTATTATAAATATATTAAAGTTTAAAAAATCAGAAGATGTTATTGAATGAGAAAAAAGTTAAGTGTTAAAAAAGGAAAGATTAAAGAAGAAAAATGATAATTAAAAAATAATTACAAATTAATATATATAATTAGATATAGACTAAAATTATTATATAAAAAATTATATTTTTTCTAATTAATATAAAAGTATTAAATTATTTTTCTTAATATAATATAATGAGACTAAATGAAATTAATATTGAATGGCAGTGCATTTAAAAATACCTTACATCCCTCTTTGGTGCCTTTTGCAAACTTTGCTTTCTTCTTTGCACCAACCAGAAATATTTTTTAAAAAATATTAAAATTATCACAAAATTTTTTAAATTAATTATATATTTTTAGTGGACTATAATTCAATAAAATATAGTATTTCTAAATTTATTTATTTGTTACTAAGAAAGAAAGAAAGATTTATGCTTTAAGAATTATATTTTAAGGTAAATATTATTCTTTTTCTTTAAATTTTATGATTTATTTAATAATAAGTAATTTTATTTACTATTTTAGTTAAAATTAAATTCCTATAAATGAATTATATAGTAAACACTAACTTCTCAAAACTTGCAGAATTATCAATTCCAAAATAAATGTATAAATAATTAAGTAGAAATACTTCAATCTTGGTGACTATTGTGATATAGCTTATAAATTTATAACCATCATCAAAATCAAAAGAATTAGCTGAAGAGTATTAAATAAATATTGTTTTAGTAAATACCAATATTTTTAATTAAGTGCATATTAGAGTTAATACTTTAGTAAGAAGAAATTAAATAAAAGTTTTATTAATTTATATTAAACTAAATTAATTAATGTTTGAAAATTATTTAATTAATAAACTTTTTTCACATGCTACTCATTTACACCTTAAAAATTCCTATAGTTTTAAAGTTTTGCTTTTGTTTTTAGCAAAACTTAGTTTTGCTAGCAAATAACTTACATTCTATACCTTTAGTTATTTTTATTTTTTTTTAGTTCACTTAATCAAACCTGCAAGGGATTAGATACTAAGAATATACTTGAGTATTCTAGGATATTCTACCATCAAACGATTAATATTCATTTAAATTGATCTATTCTTATAATTTATAATCTTTTTTTTAGTATATCTTAGTTTGTTCTAGATGAATATTGTGTTTATAGATTAAAACATGTTTATACTTATAATCTTCTACTAAACATAAGCTGCATGGTTGGCAAAGTTTTTCATATATTATCAATAATCTCTTACTGGATCTTTAGGACACCTTTTAAACCACAAAACACTTCATGAAAGCTTCACAACCTAGATCTTCACAATTCCCACCAACTTGCCATTGTCCATACCATTGCACAATAAAGGGTGAACATTTCCCCAATATCCTTTCAGATCAATGCTGTAAGATGATATATGATAGACTTTCAATCAATTGTATGTTCACATCCTAAAACTGCAAATTGAACATTGAGTTCAAGTTGGAGCACAAAAAGGAATTTAGCCAAGGGTTGAAAAGCAAAAGTATGCACACATTATTTAGGCTTTGGGAAGTTTTTTCCCAATTGTGTCATAGTAAGTTCTTTTGAGAAAACATGATGTTATTCACAAATTTAGCCAAATATGAGGCAATTAGGAAAGCAAGCACAATAGCAGCACACCCCAGCTCATTTAAAAACTGGACATTATTTTGGCTGTAGCTGGCAATCTTATTTAATATCCCACTATCAAGCAATGCTCAGTAATTCAAACACTATTTAAGTTCTTATGGAGATTGACACATGCATGTGATCACTAGCTTTGTTTAGCACTCTCTTCACAGAGCTAACGTATCTGCATGGTTGAATTCAAGCTTTTAATTCATGAATTTGTTAAAAAATCCATGGAGTAATACCTGAGCTCGACACAATTGAAATTGAGGGATGTATTATGCTTGAGGGATGCATGCATAATACATGTAAAAATTACCTCTTCTCTCACAATAGCCAATGGGCATGCAAGTTGTGTTGGAGAGCTACTGCTGAGACAAAACTTTATCAAAATATTCAATAAGACATAATTAAGAAAATATAGATTTGATAGATTGGATTAATAAATAAGAATAATTAAGCAAACCAAACATATAAAGATTCCATGAATATACAACCAAAATGAATATTCAAGACCTCCTAGCCAGAAAAATTCATGCAGGTAGTAAGCAGCATTATGTATTCAAAACAGTAACAGTTTCAGCAAATAACAGCAGCAAGACCAGGATTAGGATCATTCAGGATCCAAAAGGAGGAAGTAGCAGCAAAGGAAAGCCAAGCAGGAAACTTTGAGTGTAGCAGAGAAGTAGTAGCAGTAAAGGTTATTATCTAGAAGCAGGATTAGAAGCTACACTGAAATGCAAATAAAATCTTATAAAAGCTTACCTGTTACAATGAGAGGCCTCTCCACTTTCGCAAGCTGGTCCCATGCCATGATCAGAAAAGCTCGATGATTCTGGCCAAACACCTGCAAACATAGGAATTCGATTATAATCAAAGTCAAACGTTCACAAGAAATAAACAATGCCTACCTGAATCCAAAACACCAATGATGATAATTTTGGAATACTTTGTCGACAGCAGTTATGTTTCGCTAGTTTCACTGATACCGAAAAAGGACTCGTCTCCATTTCCATGGAAACCGAGAAATTTTGTGTATGTAGCTCATAATTTAGATTGGGAAAAGACAGAAAGCACACCTGCAGAAAGAAAAAAATTTAGTTGAAAAGATAAATATAAATACTGAATACGATCAATCTTAGCAGCTGCTTCTTCTGTAAGACGAGATGAGAAGCCAAGATATCCATGGTTGTAGCTAAAACCCAGAGCAGCTTGAGAACTGATTCAGGAACAAATGAAATTATCTGGGCATTGAATTCTAGAAGAACTTTCTCCAAAACAGCGTAGTACGACTTGTCAATATGTCTAAAGTAAATGATGTGCGTGTCTCCTCCCTGGAAAACAATTGTAAGAAACAAGGTGAATGGTTGCAAAGAATCGATCAAACCTGCGAGCTAGCCACGCCAACCAAACTGATACAATTTCCAAGGACTTCAATAGCATAGAGAAAGCTATGTTGTGAAAACGAGTAAGCACAGCGTAAATTTTGAAAGCACGTCTGCATGTAAATGCTCACACGACCCTAACCAAAAGACAAAGGCCTAGCTGATGGATCTACAAGTTGCAAGGCCGGAACACGTTAAAGCCATCGCCAGCGGTAGAAACCAAAAGCCCGTGAATTTGAGGATGCCAGTGCACTTCCTTCATATCCTTCTGTCCCTGCAGCGAGTGTTAGAAAACGGAGCCCAAAAGTTCCCAGCTTGCCTGGTGAACGAAAAGCAGTTGGGCCGGCAAGTTCTCTGGAGCCGCCGCTTGCTCCTGTCCCAGCTCCATTTGGTATTGAGCCTCTTCCTCGGTATCACGCTCCAGCGCTACGTCCCAGATACTACACAAGTGACACTTTAGTTCTTGCGCGTTGACGAAACTAGAGGCTTACGTTAGCTGGTTGTCCGCAGAGGCCACAGCCAGAGTGGACTCTTCGTGGGGGCTCCATTCGATCGACGTGATATACGAACTATGGTGCGTGAAATGCGCCACGGCGGAATCTTCCTAAAACCGAAGAAGTTATGCAAGATTAGCAGAAAAGTATCAAAAGGGGGTAATGTACTTACTTTGAACGCCCGGAGATCCCACACGCGGAAGAGACCATTGTCACTTCCTGACGCTAGTAGGCAGGATGCCGACCTGAGAACAGACTAGTTAGATAAACGAAAAAGAAGTAGAAAATTGCACTTGTTTTTGTTCCAGGAGATGACGTTAACGTCTGTGTCATGAGCTTTTACAGACAGCTCTTTTCTTCGAGATCGTAAATCCCAAATCCCAATGGTTTTGTCTACTGAGCAAGAAGCAAACACATTTTCCTCTGAAGGACTCCACTGATCAAGCACACCAGTTAGAACAGATATGAAGTGAAAATAATACAACCTGTAAGTCCTCGACACTGCCACTATGTCCAAGGCAATGCGCGTTCCCCACGTTCCATCTTCCCCCAGGCATCGGCTCCCAGAAATGGATCACTCCCTTGCAATCCCCTTGTATGGAAACCTTAACTTAGCACATAGCCTAGCACGAGTCCGAGACAAGTTACCAGAAAGGAAACGTCCGGGAGTCATCGGGCTCCAATCCATGGCAAAACCTTCATCTTTATGCGCTTTACATATTTGAAGAGGAGGATGGGAGGTACGTTTGCTGCTTCCAGCGTCATTGTTTGTAGCTACAGCATTAAGTTGGGACGAAAAGTCCCACATCTGAAGGAAGAAAAACATCACACACACGTAGAGAACTATTGTTGAAAACAAAAAACTCAAACCTGGACAAAGCCTTCAGCAGACCATGATGCAACAATATGAGGTTGTTGTGGCATGGATCGGATGCGATTCACACACCCCTGGTGAGGCACCATTCGTTCCTAAAGAAAAACATAAGAAAAATCAATACAAGCTGAATTCCACAAAAAAGACAGAAGAGAGAATTACCTCCAGCTTAGGAATTTTACTCGACTCGTCTGGTGCGGGCGTTGGCGTTTCTTGGTCTTGTTCATCCTCGCTATCGTCACTCTCGCTTCCACTCTCGTCGTTGGGAACAGCGTTGGGCGATCGTTTCTTTCCAGTCAAGTTGGACAGCTTCACGATGGCAATTGTGTTGCTGGTCGACGCATCTGCCTGCCAGTTACACGTAAAAACGCTACCTTTTAGAGTTTTGATCCGAAATGAAAAGAAGAACAACCTGTGTTCCGGCCACGCAAAACATCGTGTGAGGAAATTCATGTCGCAAAGCTCCCAGTGTATCTCTCACGATGTCAAAGCTGAAATGTAAAAATTACAGCACACAATGGAAATGGAGAAAAAGCTCTTTCAACGAAGAGAATTTTAAAGAATACCTCAAACACGGCCATCCCAAGTGAAATGCGTGAAGGCAGTCATAAGTAGATGGATCGAATTGCAATTCCTCGTCCTTTTCCAGCGTATCAACTCCAGGACGCCATACCTGGGATGCTATCTCAATCCAATCTCGCTATCTCAATCGCTCACCTTTGGAACAGGGGCGGGCGGGGCCGATGGAGCCGCCACATTTCGCCTGACCGCCGCCGGCCTTCGCTTCTTCCCTGTCCGCGCCATAAACCCTAAATTCGTGGTTTAGGGCTTTGGTGTTTCGTCCACCTCAGCAGTCCATGCAGCCGGCCAATCAGCGTTGCCGAGGTACACCGACGCGGATTGTGCTTTCTCAAACGCATCCCAGCCGTGCGTTGCATCTCGGTCGTTACTATTTAAGAGTCATGCGCTCCACTGTTCTTCCATTTTAGGGTTTTTAGAGCGGGGCAAACCCTTGCGCTTCGTCTTCGGCTTTGCGATTTCTCAATGGCGCGTACCAAGCAGACTGCTCGCAAGTCCACGGGAGGAAAGGCGCCCAGGAAGCAGCTCGCAACCAAGGTAAGCGCCAGAAATTTCTCTCAGATTTTGGTCTAGATCGATTCTTAGAATCCCTTTGGCGATAGGCTGCCAGGAAATCGGCTCCCACCACTGGAGGAGTGAAGAAGCCCCACCGCTACCGCCCAGGAACAGTCGCTCTCCGGTAAGAACACGAATCGATATGAGACGAATTCTGGAACACCAAACGTCTGCTTCGTGATCCTTTGCAGTGAAATTCGCAAGTACCAGAAGAGCACTGAGCTGCTCATCCGCAAGCTGCCATTCCAGAGGCTTGTTCGTGAGATTGCGCAGGACTTCAAGGTAATCCATGGGAACCACCTTCGACTCCTTTGCTGATTTGGGGCTTTTTTTCCTTTTGTTTCCAGACCGATCTGAGGTTCCAGAGCCATGCCGTGCTCGCGCTCCAGGAGGCAGCGGAGGCATACTTGGTGGGTCTTTTCGAGGACACGAATCTGTGCGCGATCCATGCCAAGAGGGTGACCATCATGCCCAAGGACATCCAGTTGGCTCGCCGCATTCGTGGAGAAAGGGCGTAAGCCATGGCTACCAGACTGCTTCTACCACTACTACTAGTACTGCTGTGATTGATATAAAAAGCTTTCTTTGATATACCTTTCCTGTAATATACTACTACTGCTAGTTTGACTCTAAACAATCCCAAGGTTGTTCTTTTAGATTTGGTCTATTTTTCAATTATATTCTTTGTTTTGATCTTAATCATTTGGAGCTCAGTTAATAATGTGTTGTGGGGCAAGTTCTCTCGTGATGTGTTGCAAGCTCTCCCAACTTGTATTGCTCGAAGCCTTCTCTCCAGTCGAGCTCAGAATCTGCAACGCAAAACTTACCTGGTGACAAAACCATGAGTTTTTCTCGACCAACTTACCAGTATTTCAATGGATTCTTCAGTGGCATCTTGAAACTTGTCTGGAGAGGAACTCCACCAGAGTTATTTTGTTGAATAGAAGGAACCACTGTTTGGCCAGTCTTGTTCGTGGTTTCCACTGTTCAATCAGTGGGAGAATCTAACACTATGATCGCCTTCCAAGCATGTATGGAACTCGCCTGCGACTCCTGATATCATTTCGATGAGTTGATCCCACATAGACACATATCCAAGCGCATACGCAATGTCTCCAACGTGAGAAACCATGTCGTAGTTTTCCACATCTTTCAGCAGGGAATCTGTTGTTTGTAGAGCACCGTGGCTGTAGCTATTGTATTGATTCGATCCATCTCGCTCTTTCTGAAAGAACCGTTGATCCATACATGAGAACAAAATTTGTATCGATTAACACCTTTTCAAGATCTCCGAAACTACTATTCTGCCTCAACAAAGGATCTCACACCCTATAGTCCTTCAAGTGCGCTACCACGAATTTCACAGTTTTTGCAATGTAAGCTCACGACCAAGAAGAACATGTTTTACACTTGAAATTTACCACACATGTCTCCACGACTATAAGTTTGTGTAACTCCTGGAGAGGCCCAAGTTTCGTCCGATTCATGTAATCCCTAAAGAACAAAAGGCTTGGCTTCGTGCGTTCCATATCCACTCGTCCAGGCAACAAGAGATCTGTTTTAAATTACCTGAAACTGGCTGGAGGGAAGACCCCAATCCAATCTGAAACGTGATCATGGGCGGAGGCATCGAGATTTTTGAAGAAGACCTTGACATTCGCAACATTCTGGAAGTGTGCAAAGGACGACATGATCACAAGTAAATTTCTTAGCTGACCTTGGATGGTAGGAGAAACACGAATTTCAGCCAAACTATCAATGGCATTGTCAAAGTTAATGCCGGAGCAAGGGTGCTGCTCGCCATAGCTAAACAGCGATCACAAAAGAACAATTAAGAGGATCCATTGACCTGGTACCAGTGTTTTTTCATGTTGTGTGAAGTAAGCATATTCCTTAAGTATAACTGCTTAGTTCGCGTTTAACATTTATCAAAAATTTCGACCGTACACCTTTCGTGCTTTGCTAGCCACAAACTGAGGATACCACAACACTACGTGGCACATCCTCAGTGGCCTCTCGAGATTTGCTCTCTACACGCTGGCAAATCTCCTGGCTGATATATATCCCCGTCGCAAACGCTCAGCCTCCATCGCCCTCGCTGTGCTTGCTCTCTTCTTTGTCTTCCTTTCTTCGTCTTAGATATGGCGGCGTCGGCTTCGGCGATCAGCAGCTCCTCCTTCTCCGGCCAGACTGCGCTCAAGAGCCCCAATGAGCTCTCCAGGAAGGTCGGAAATCTGGGAGAGGCACGCACCGTGATGAGGCGAACCAGGGCCAGCACTCCCGATAGCATTTGGTAAGTCGAGATCTCCCTCTCCAGCAACCTGCATTCCCTGTTTCGTGTGATAAGTTTCTTAGAAGAAAGTAGCAATACCTCGATCGTGTACCTCCATTTCTTAAAAGATCATAGTCCTTGATCTTCACACCATTTCCTCCGCGCTCTTGAAAGATATAGCTCTGTTGTCTCCATACCATTTCCTTCGAGCTCTTGAAAGTTCATAGTCGCTAACTTTGTTGTCTCCACACCATTTCCT